GTGTCTGTATGTGTCTGTGTGTGTTCACCCCTTTTCTCCTCATCCCTAAACTCACAGCCACCAAATCTCAGCCTCCAGGGACAGCTGTCGGATTGACTTCTAAAACTGGGTAGTAACTCTGCAACTCCAACCCCCGCCATGCATGCAAACACACACAAACATACACACACACACACACACTCACACATTAGCATGAGCCCTCAGATCTAGTGAGTGTAATCTGCTTAGTTTATGCCTGATTTACAGTCATCCATCAATTACTGAGACAGAGGGAAAGACTATTGACACTGTGTGCAAACACCATTGTCTCGCTGCACCAACACAGTACCTCTCAGACACTTAAATGGTTTACAAAAGGAGAGGGGGGAGGTGGCGGAGGGAAGTAAAAGGGGAGAAGGAGAAAAGGAAGAAGAAAAATGAGATAAAGAACATGAATGATATAAATGGAGGAAAAAAAGCTTTGAGCTATATGCATGCTTTACAGTGTCTTTAAATAGATGAATGGGAGGGAAATGATATGTAAAATGATGGACTGACTGACAGATGAGCACTTGGAATAGGATCAGTTTCACTGTATTGATCTATCGTGCACTGTACAGAGATCAGAGGTCACAATCACACACACACACACACACAAACACACACACATCCATGCCAGCAACCTTAGAAAGCCGCTGGGAGAAACTTAAAGCAATGTAACCATAGAAATGTCACTTAGAGCTGCTGGGACCTGCTGCTGCTATCCTCAGAGGGTCAATGGTCTGCAAATGGTTTTCACTTATCTGGAGATCCTTTGGTCCCGCTGGGGAGGAAGTGAGTCAGTGCTGGGAAACATATATGCACAGGAAGGCAGGCAGGGTTTCATTAGGACTAATTTGGGATCATTTTATGAATATTTGAGACTAAATGCAGTAAAAACTGTAGAAATATAGGCTCTTATAATTGGTGTGCATACCCTAATAACTTAGGGGCTGGACTGCCCCCTAGTGGGCATATTTATTTTACAGCAGCTTTTTACCTTTCTTGAATTGACCACAAACCTGATAAGGGTTGATTATTTAAAATACTGTTAGGGACTCTAATGGAGCTCTAATGTGACTGAAGTTTAAACAGTTTATCCTGATTATGGAGCGTGTACATTGCACTGTTTCCCGTTGTCCAGTCATTGTGCCAAGTCGTCTTCTGGCAGGTGCCCATCTGGACGTTCTTAGGGCGATTATGTAACCAGGCCTCTCCTAACAATTTAGTGTGGATTACCACTGCACCCCTTCATATTCTCAACAAGCAGTATTGGATTAACTGGTCAGCTTCTGGTCTCCAGCTCTGACATTAGCCTTAGCTTGCCCTCGTCAGTTTCTCAGTGTGCTGTCAGTTTGTCTTCGTGGTGCAGAGCAGGTTTGTGGTCCACGTCCAGCCAGAGCTTGGAGGTTCCTGTGGAAGTTGCTCATCATTTTCAATATTTTTCATGTGTTTTTCATGTTATTTATTTATTCATATTGTTATTATAGTTCTAGTTCTCGGTATTATTACAATTTTTGCTGTATACTCTGTACGTAAAACATCTAATGCATTACTGTCACTCCTGAAAGAGGGACCCCTCCTCATTTGCTCTTCCCGATTAATTTCATTTAATTTTTCCCCATAAAAAGGTTTTATTTTAGGTAGCCTTTTAAAGCAAATTTGTGATTTGCAGTGGTGGGAGTGCAGTTTACTTAAGTATTGCCATTTTCTGCTATGTTATGCTTCTAACCCACTATGGTTTAGAGGGAAATATTGTTCTTTTGACTCCCCTATTTATATCTGGCAGCTGCAGTTAAGTTGCATATTAAAATGTTATGTGAAAAACATATAATAATCCCGTAAAATGCAATTTAGTGTTAAGAATTAAACCAGTGGTTCCCAACTTTATTGGCTTGTGACACCTTGAAAAAAAAGCAGTATGTAGTTGGGTCCCTCGTCACGTTGTTTCACAAAACAAGTCCACTGCCATGCTCTGTGAGGCTGTACTGTACTTTCAGTTAAATATAACATCGTCATGCTAACATGCTCATAGAAACAATAAAAACACGTAGATGTTTAGTAAGTTTGATGCTTATACTTAAAGGTATGTTGTTGCAGTTCATCCTCTGGGGAACCTGAATGCCTGTATCAAATGTCAGGGCAATCCGTTCAATAGTTGTTGAGATATTAACAAGTGTCGACCAACATTGCCACCCCTAGAGCTGCTAGTATGGCTAAAAACATTAAATAATTGACACAAATGTTTATAAAAGGAATACAGATTTGCATCGCAACACATGACCCAACCCCTCAGATTTATCTTGTGACCCTTCGGAGGGGCCTGACCCATAGGTTGTAAACCACTGGATTTAAATACTGAAACAAAGCAACTCC